CATTTTTGAAAGTGAGTGTAAGTTGAGTAACCGTTAGTGCAATTTTGTAATTTCAGTGACAATTTTATTATTTTGCTGTAACTTTAGTGACCATTTGTGAAATTAACCCATTTTAATTTTTAATTATTGTTTTTGTTTTTTTGCGCCCTTTTTTTTTCAAGAGTGATATTATTATAATTATTACATTAGAAATTTTGTCAAAAGTCTTTTCCCTATGCTTGAGCCTCGTATTTTTAATAGATTTTACGAGAATGATTAACCATGCATTAATCCCATATTTGGTAAAGATTAAAATTTAAATTTAAGTCAAATTCAACAATTAATTTTAATTATATATTTTATAAAGTTTATAATTTTTTAACCACACATTTTATCAACATTTATCAAAATTTACTAAAAAATTGATTTTAATCTCCACCAAATAAAGGATTAATATACTTATAAAATTATTTATTGAAAGAACGTATAATTAAAAATTTATTCGAAACAAAATGAAAATTTAAAAAATATGATTCAGACATGAATTTTTAGTTCAATAAGTACATATACCATGAATAAATATAATAAATATGTCCTTATTTTACCTTAAAAAAGGTATTTTCCCATTTTTTAGAAAAAAAGTTCACACAGCTAATAGGATCCATGAAGTTGATGCTATCTTGTTTTTTTTAAAAAAAAGGGTAAATAGCACAGAACGTTTCTACCTTTCATTTTTTTGCATTTTCACCCATACCTTCCACGTTTCATTAAACAAAAGGTTATTTTCAACCATTTTTTCAATAAAATGATGATTTTATCATTCTATTCAAATGAAAAGGACAAAGAAAAGAAAAAAATAAACAACTAATTATAATCATGGTCTTAAATTTTTCAAAATATTACAAATAAGTCTTAAATTCTCCACCACCACCACTTTCACAATCTCACCAAGCCGTCACCTATAGATTCCCATAACACCACCTTCTGGTCACCATGTCTGTCGTCGCTTCACCCCCCACAACATCCTCTCCCACAATATTGATCATAAAATCTGTCGAAAACAGTCACATTTGGAGCCTAAAATACCAAACTACCATATACAACCCTTCACGGCAACCCCACTTTCTGCACCACCTACGGTCGCACGCCACCACCGACAGTTACCCCCCACGTCGACTAACTTATACATGGCCTCACATCAATCAAACATGCCTCAAATCATTCTACTGTAATCTAGACATTCGATAGTGGCGACATCCATTTTGACAA